CTCTGGTACCACGACCTAGATACCCCCTTATCTAGGTCATGCCGTCCTAGAAGCCTAAATTTTTCAAAGACCCCAAACTCGATGGAGACGACTGGCTTCCTGGGTTCCTTGCCCACGACTTTCCACCTCTATCCATCATGTTCTAGCTCGCTTGTAGTGCTGTCCTCGAACAATACGACCATGGCGGCATTGTCCACTATGTACGGTGCTTGGCAGGTCACTCCATTCCTCCACTTATCTAGTAACGGCATGGGTTATCTAGAATTATTACGTCCGTCTCGCGTACCTCTGTCAATTAGCATGAGGCCGACTTCGAATTTGAGCGGTCCGTCCACCCTTGGTGCCTCGCATTGCCCTGCCGCAAAGTCCCTTCTTGATGATCTTTTCTGCTGGTATTAAAGGCGAACCTTTTCTCCTATATTTTCTCTCTCGCCCCCATCTGCACACCGACCTTAAGTTTGCCCCCTTTCGGCGATATTCAAGATCATGCCAGGTAAAGGCAGCAAGAAGGACAACGAAGATTCCACTGTTCTCTCTTCGGAAGAACACGGTATGTATGATTTGCTACACCCAAACTCTAGCCCCAGGCTAAGCCGTCTTCTCTCTCTATAGATGATGCAACCAGCAACCGGAAAGCGGCATCAAAACGTCATAAAACTAAGGAACCTACTCCAGCTCCAGCCCACCCCCGCTCACGTCGTAATACCCCTGCCCCCTCCAGTGAACGGCAAGGCCCCGTTACCAGGAGCTCATCTGTGACCCGCGAGCTCGCACCAATAGGCAGGGGCAGCAAAGGCAATAAGGGTGGCCAGAGTAGTCGACGGGCCGGTATGTCCCACATGCAGAGAGCTAACTCTCCATTGACTCTCTTCCAGAAACTCCCAAACCAAGGCCTGGGCGCTCTCGCAAGGATGCACCAACACCTCTTTCCGTACAGAGGGATGCAACGCCCATGGAGGAGGAGGTCCTGAGGATGAACATCGACGATATTGATGATATCGATGATCGCCTAAGCCCTATAGAAGAGAGCAATGAGGAACGGGCTATGGAACACGATAATGATGATGACATCGAGCCTGTTATGGAGGAACCCGCATTCGCACCAAGTTTGTGACTGTTCTCCTATCTTTTTTTTGTTTGCTGACTCACTACATAGCTCCCAATACAGACATTGAAGAGCATCCTCAAAATGTGCGGAGTTCTGCCCCACCCAATCTCTCACCTTCGAGGAAGCGCCCACATAGTCGCTCCCCTTCTGTATGTACACCAGCTCCGATGCTCTCCCACCATATCTAACTCTTTTTTAGCCCCCAAACAAGGTCCATCATACCACTCATCGTACTGTTGCCGGTCGCTCCGCTTCCGTGAGCATTGAAACGTCGCCTCATAGGCGGAATAAGGCTTTCTCTCAACAACAACTTGTCATGCCTCCCCGCCGTCCTACCTTAGAAGGATTAGACATCACAAGTAATGACCAGCCTAGACGAGAGCCATACAATCGTCCATCACCAACAGTGTCTTCTTTGACCAAGAAGCCATCATCTCGCCCTCCCAATCCCAATGTCAAGCCAGGTAATACTGCAAAGTCACATCCCCCTAGTACGACTGTTCAAAGGCAGGATGTTCCTGGTCGCAAGGGTCATAATTCCAATGCTGGGGCCCCAGACAAGGTCATCGATAAGCCCACTGCAGCCAGACCTACCCCAAACCACCGCAATCAAAGCCAACCCCGCAAAGATGACCTGCTCTCTCATCGTCTGGACATCAACAAAGCTACCCCTGAGCATGACCGTTCCACAGCAATCGCACGTAGGCAGGACCCTTCCCAAACCCAACACGAACGTGACGGTGACAAAGGTCGTGATTCTTTCCGCAACCACGGCCGTGACAATGAACACAATCGTGACCGTGACAATACTCGCAACCTCAATCGCAACAATGATCAGCAGCGGGGCCTTGGCCATGACAATAATCGTAACCATGTCCGTGACAACGACCGCGACCGCAATCACAACCGTGACCGTGACAATAATCGCAACCCCAATCATAACAATGATCAGCAGCGTGGCCGTAATTCATCCAACAAGCACAATCAGGATCACTCTTCCAAGCACCGTCGTTCTCGTTCCCGTTCTCATTCCCGTTCCCGTTCCCGTTCCCATCCCCATTCCCATTCTCATCGCCACCCTCGTTCTCATTCTCATCGTCGCCCTCACTCTCGTTCTCCTTCCCAGTCCGGCATTCGTGGTGGTGATAGTGATAGCCACTCTGATGTGGAGCGCACTCATAGGCACTCCAGAAACAAGAATGATCGATCGATTTCAGTTACAACTGAGGAGGAGGAACCCCTTACAGCGAAGGGGAAAAAGAGGAAGTCTAACAGACGTGCTCCAGATGATGAGCGCGATCCTGAAGGAACCACCGATGCCCCTATCAAAAAGCGTCATGCCAGGCAAGAACCTCTTCATGGCACACTAGCCTGGTTCAAGAAGCTTGGCGATGAGGAAGGCAAATTTGCCGATCTGATCAAGACGTGCTATTATCGCCTCCTCTGTAAAAAAGATTGGTTCCCTGATGACCTCGAGCGCAGCAAACTTACAGGCATGGCCTATCGAGCAGCTGCGGATCACTGGCGGCAAACACATAATGAAAAAGGCAAGGATACGGAATACATTACTTCTGGGGACTCTGTGATGACCCAACCCCCTGAAGATCACAACAATGGCGAAGGTGGTGAAGACAATGGCGATGCTGAGCCTAACGATCCCAAGGATGAGCAGCACAAGGTTTCCCATGGCAAGAACCCCAAGGATGAGTTTGCAGACTGTGAGTGTGGTCTGGATATACTTTGGACATCTGCGCTGACATATCAATTAGTGCCTTTCAATCTTATTGACAGTGGAATTCGCAAAATGGTATGGTTCTTTTGTTCATTAATATATTCTAACTCAGCGCAGTGTCGTAACCTTGCCTCCGAGTTCCGAGGCAACATCGTCAATGTTGCAATTCGCCTTGTTGTCCAAGGATATGGACTCGATCAGCCGGATGGTGATATGGAAGGAACCGATGAGGAAATCATTGCTGCTCAAGTTGCAAAGATCATCGAAGCAGATAACTTTGAGTTCTCCAAAGACCCAGATAACCCGGTACGTGTAATATTGCGAACTTCTTACAAGGACTGAGACAGGTTACGATTTGGTGGAACGTAGTGAAACCTTAATCGTTTTAGGTGGAAACTTTTCGACTTTTCCATTGCTTCCTTTGTTCGTCCTTCTTGTTTGCTCCTGTTTGCCCTGTTTCTATTCTTCGTACCTGTCATCTTTCATATCTGAATTCTTTCAGGCCGACGCTAGCCTGTCACGTCATTTCCATTCCTTCCCATTCCTCCTCTCTCCCCTTCTATACTAAATATCCCATCGAAGACGAATATACTCGCTCATATCCTAGCTCTTTTCTTTGAATTTGCTCTTACTCACTTCTTCACCAGTGTCTCCTACCTATTTCCTTCCGATCCTCCCAACCCTGCCGTCCTCTGATCTCATCCGTTTCCCCTCTCTATTCCTTCCACGCACTCTCACTTCAATGTTTTTTGGTCTCTATATACCCTTCTTACTTCCTGTTTTGGTCTATCCACTCGTTTCCTTGCCTCCTACGGTATGTTAAGCCTCCCCTCCTCGCATAACGTTCTCATGTCTGATTTCTATGTTTTCTCATAGCACCTTCCTGTTCATTCTTGATCTATTCTTTCCTGGTACGCACTGTAATTATGCATTGTGAGGGATTTCTCTTGTCAGCCCTCTGCAGACTCTGCCGCTGGATATCCAATGACTACTCCTTTGTTGGATGCCATCACTTTAGCACACCTGTCTCTCACCTCGAGCACTGTATACTCCTTTCCGTTATTGGAATGGATTGCTATTGTAGATCTCTATAACCAGACCATTATTCAAGATGGTGTTGTCTGTCGTTCCTTTGCCTTTAGACAAATTGTAGGAATTACTAAATAGATACACAGATTGATGTCTTATGAGAAATCCAGTCCGCCAAATCGTACATTTGCCACGCGAACGCGTTGGCCCACACCCTCACGTTGTTTTACATTAGATTCCTGGCTCGCATCGTTTTATGTCTGACCTGGCTCGTCTTACCTTCTTCACACCATCCAAATTGGTCACTGATGATGATTACAAGGCAGTGGTCCCCTTCAACTCTAATTGTGTGGCAGTATTAATCGCGGCGGTAAGTCCCTGCCTCTGAATTGACTGGATGCTGATAACACGATGACAGACTCAATGTGCATTCATACGATGGGAAACAGGAATATGTAGAAGGAAGTCCTTTCTGGAGTCGACTTATAGTAAGAAGCATGCCAAGGTGATGGAGGAGATCGCAGAGACTGTTCCGAAGAACAAAGGACTTTGGAGGGCAATGCTGAAGAACTTTGAAGAGATGGCGTAGGTTTTGAATCAGTGGTATATTGTGATACTCACCTTCTCATAGAAACAATAACCGCCAGCGAAGGTCAAAATGCAAGATTATTGCCGAAGTATTTGGTGACAGCGCAAATGAAGATGATGAAGACAACAACACTGATGGCCATGATGCTGGTCAGTCTGATAACGATTAATATGAACGTACGTTGGCATCTATTTTCTTCCTGACCATCGATGACTCACACTACATAAAGGTACTATGCCGGGTTGCACTTGTGAGTATATTACTTAGGACATTGCGTGTGCTGATACCATTATGCTGCAAGTCTTTAGTTGACACTCCTATGACTATATGCCGCCATCATTGATTTACCTCTATTACCTATGCAATACAGATCTCTTATATGGAAATTGGGCTCGTTTGACTGTTGTGGTAAGCAATGCAAGTGGCTATTCATGGCAAAAGGTATGCCTAGATTGAATGAGTGTTAGCGCTGCTTAAGGCCTATAGTCATCCCTAGATTGACGTGCATATTTCTCTTAAGTTTTGTAATTATCTCTAGATTTGTGCATATATTTCCCTTAAGCATCGTACTCTTCTTAGATTGGCATACAGATTTCTCTAAAGTTTTGAAGTTTTGACTAGTTCCATGTCGATAGTTCTCTTAGCTCATCATCATTATGATAATCTGTTCGGATATCAAGCTCCTCCATATATCTGGAGGAGAGCGAGCGAGCGGCAGATTTACTACATTCCAAGGTTAGATGGCGTGTAGAATGTGGTATTGAAAGGACATTTAGGGACTGGTCACTCTCGTAAGGAAAATGGAGGGATAGCCGGAGTATAGATGAAGGAAGTGAAATAATGCCGAGACAATTTGATCGTACTCGGCACAGATTAAGGATTAAGTTTGTCCCTGAGAAAAGCCCATCGAGTTCGAGTATAGGAATAGAATAGGAGGTGATTTTAAGGGACATGTCGAGCTCATTGATACTTGGCATGAGCTGGAGGGATACTTTGATTACCTTCTCTATTAATCCGGTGATATCTTTTCCTGGTTGCATATTGGCCTGACTGCTCGTGAGTTTATCAACTTTGTTGACGTGAATTCTTAACGAGCGTACGTTATAGTTTGGTAACACGACAGACGATATTGATATATTATCTCCC